ACTTCGCTGCCACCGTTCTACATCCTCGTGTACGTCGACGACTTGGTTTTTGCTGTTCTAACACTGAGGCACTAACCCTATTGAAGCCGGAGCTACAGAAGAGACACACGTGCACAGACCTGGGTGAACTGCGCAGCTATCTTGGCTTGCAGATCACCTGGGACAGAGCACGGTGCACCATTACCTTGACTCAGTCACACATGGTGCAGCAGGTACTTCAACGCTTCCGCTTCACGTACTCCTCGCCACAGTCCACTCTTCTGCCTACCGGTCACTCGCTTTCAGCTCTGCCTTCGGATGAGTCCGTAGAGCCCAGTGGCCCGTATTTAGAGCTTGTGGGCTGCCTCATGTACCTGATGACCTGCACTCGACCTGACCTTGCTTACCCTCTTAGCATCCTGGCTCGCTACGTTGCGCCCGGGAGACACCGACCAGAGCACTGGGAGCAGGGCTGATGTTTCAAATTAGGCCTCCCTGAATCCGGGAAAAAAAATTCCCCTGTATTATGGGTGCACATTTTCCAGTAAAACATCACCCCGATTGTTCAGTGTTGGGAAGTTATATAGTTTGTCTGTTCAGGGTCGAGATGTTAGAATCAGTGTAGTAACGCACTGTGCAGCATCGATACTGAACCTCGATGGTGGGTGTATCGGAAATAACGTTCCAAGAAACTTCTTTTCGATGAAGCGGGGGGCTATACTCATACAATTTCCTGGAAATTTGCATTACGACCACAAAGGTGAGTTTATCGGAACTAAAGTTCGAAGAAACTTCGTGCCGATAATGTCTTATTCGGGGTCCCTCACACGCTGGCTGTACTGCGAACAATCCGAAGGTGGGGTTATCGGAAGGAAAATTCCGAGAAGCTTCGTCTCAATAAGTTCGCATTCAGGGACCACAAAGTTGATATCCTTTTAAGTCAGAGTCCACTAACAGAAAGGCCTGTTACACTATACTCAAAATCAGGGATAAGACAACTTCTACTCTAATTGGATCAGTGTTGAGAACACATAAATTCTGAAATCTCAGTCTCCACTCAGTAGAAAGCCTGAAATCACCCTGAAATCAGGTTAATTACCCTGATAAAAACAGCCTTGACTGGGAGGCCGCTAAGAGGGTGATGCGCTACTTGTGCAGTACGTCGGGCATGGGGCTCGTGCTTGGAGGACGGGCTCGAGTTGTCCTCACTGGTCACGCAGACGCTTCTTGGGTTGATGAATTGGCTACGCAGCGGTCGTCACAGGGTTACTCCTTCAGCCTTGGTTCCGGCTCTGTTTCTTGGCGGTCTACCCGCTCGTATTCTGTTCTCAGTTCCAGTTGTGAGGCTGAGATCTACGCAAGGGCCATGGCCGCACAGGATTTACGCTGGCTCACCTACCTGCTGATCGACTTGGGCGAGCCGCCTCGTTCTCCTCCAGTTCTATACGTCAACAACAAGGCCATGATTGCCTTGTGTCAGGAGCACAGGCTGGAGCACAGTTGAAGCACATCGCTTTGCGCTACTTCCTTGCTCGAGAGTTGCAGCAGCGTGGTCAGCTTCGTCTTGCTTACGTAACCTCTTGGGCCAACACTGCTGATATCTTCGTGATCCACCCTGAGCTTGCTTTGTTTTACTTGACCGGTCTTGTGACCTCTTGTTCTCCCCCACTTTGCCTATGGGGGGGTGTCAAACTTATATGCTGCTTATTGTGTAGGCTATAGTGGGGTAGCTGTGAAGAAATGAGGAAATGAAGATGAAGTCAGTCGGGTGCGACGAAGTCAGTTCGAGCTGCCGGCACTAACGGCCCAAACTCTTCGCCGAACTAGATGCAACCCCTCCTTCATTTCGTGAGTGTTCACAACCTGAATACTGCTCCAATGTGCACATTCAACCACGTCGTGTCTGGTCGCAATGTGAGAGAGATGACTGTAAATTGGTCGGCCTTCGCAAAGATTTGTGAAGCCTTTGGCACGGCTCACTGCAATGTTACAGTAGCAACCTTCAATTGTTATCATTGTCATTATGTGTATGAGTTCTGGTTTGGTCACTTGTAATTCAAGCCATAATGATAAGGGATTGCCCCACTATTTCATTCGTCATTTATCAATGATTATATAATGACTAGGAACATGCAGAATTCTTTGGATAGACCCAGCATGCTGCATGCAGTGGACTAGGAAGGATCTTAGACCGGTCGGCATGCCCACAGGACGTGGGGATTGGAAGGTGGCTCAGTATCGAAGTATAATTTCATGTGGCTGCTTGTAGTTAGTTGTAGTGTAGCTATATACTCCTTGTATTCATGTTGTATCTCCATTCCTTGCATGTTCTTTCCTAGTTTTTTTACTCGCTTGATACTGGATCCCCCTTTTTTTTTTAAGAATTTCTCCTAATATTTTTAGTCCTCCCTCCCAAGTTCTCTCCACTAAGAAACTACTTTTACAGGGCTTCTGTTGGAATAACCGAAAGGTTATCATAACATTCCCGAAGGTTCTCCACCAACGCGCCACTCCATAACGAAGCAGCGCGTCTGTACTAGTACCATAATAGCTCATATAAGCATGCGGAAGATTGAGAGTCACCCGAAGGTCAACAGTCGAAGTCAGTCAACGGTCGTGACCCTTAACTGTTCAGTAACCGTACTCGGAGGTTACACACTGCAACATGGTAACTGTCGAATAGAATAATAGTCGCGGTTACTGTAGCAATCTAATGCAGTTAATAAGGGAATGTACCACTCAGAGTACATGGCTAGCTAGATTGCTTTATACCTTTGTACTCCTATCTTATAATCATCTTGTTCTCTTTCACATTTTATTAACAAGGTCACTACAGAGACTTTATCGTCTTCTCTCAACTTAGCAGTCTTATCCTATCCACTGCTGATTCCCGGTTATATCAGCATGGTATGAGAGCTAGAGTGGATTATAAGGCTTGCCAAGCTCTTGTTCTTGCTAGAACATACTATTCATAAACTCATTCATTAAATTACCTACTACATGTCTACATCACTATGGCTCCTAAAGAAAAAGCCACCGCAAACTCTCCGGGCCCACCACCACCAGCAACGACTACTACGCCATCAGAAGTGACTGTCAAACTTATATGCTGCTTATTGTGTAGGCTATAGTGGGGTAGCCCATATGGGGTACAACCCAATTAGGGTTTCCCACCTACTTTCTAGTTCATCCATTCTCCTTATTCTGCTGACATGGTATCAGAGCAGGTCCTAGCCTAGGACCGTTTTTTTTAGGGCCCACCGAGTAACGCTACCCCACTCGTCGCGCCGCCGTGATCGCGCCGCCCTGCCCGTCTTGGTCACCCCTTAGTGCAGCGCCTCCGTGGCATGCACTCTCGTTTCCTTGTCTCTGGTCTTCCCAGGACTCTGCCTCCCCTCCCACCCTCGCCTGCCCCTCTTTACCTTCCCTGTATCGAGGGGCGGCAGCACGCCGCTCCTCACTCCTCCTCGTCTCCCCCAACGACTGCTCCCCTGCAGACTCTCCACATGGACGTGTGGGGCTCAGCCCGCGTCCGTCGACAGTGCCGCGAGCGCTACTTTTTGCTGGTTGTTGACGACTACACGCGTTACACCACGGTCTTCCCCTTGCGCAACAAGGGGGAGGTCCCTGATGTTTTGATCCCTTGGATCCGCGCTGCCCGTCTCCAGCTCCGCGAGCGGTTCGAGACGGACCTTCCAGTTGTGCGTCTGCACTCTAACAGAGGTGGTGAGTTTGCCTACGACCTTCTGCGGGACTTTTGTCGTGGGGAGGGCATTCGCAAGACGTTCACGCTTCCGGCCACTCCGCAGCAGAATGGGGTTGCTGAGCACCGCATTGGCTAAGTCATGGAGGTCGCTCTTACCTCCATGATCCATGCGGCTGCCCCCCATTTTCTGTGGCCGTTTGCGGTCCGATACGCTGCGCATCAGCTCAACCTCTGGCCCCGTATCTCCTTGTCGGAGACCTCGCCGACACTGCGTTGGATGGGAGAGGTTGGCGATGCATTGGTGTTCCGGGTCTGGGGATCTCGTGCCTTTGTCCGCGATACGTCCGCGGACAAGCTCTCCGCCCACGCCATTCCCTGCGTCTTCCTTGGTTTTCCCCTGACGCACCTAGCTGGCAGTTTTACCACCCGACCTCGCGCCGTTTCCTGCCCTCTCAGGATGTCACGTTCGACGAGTCGGTTCCCTTTTACCGTGTCTTCCCCTACCGCACTGCCCCGCTCCCCCCCCCCCCCCCCCCCCCCCCCTCCCCCCCGCATAGCCTCGTCCCCATCGGCACTGCCCAGCACGAGCGGTCGAATTGGTGGATCAGGGACGGTGACTGTGATATGCCGTGCATGCTCTCTCTAGATTCACGTGTTAGTGAATGCCCCCCATCATCTCACCTTGGTGAGGTACCCTCCCAGAGCCTCATCCACGTTGGCACTGCCCAGCACGAGTAGGTGAAAGGCAGACCTGTGCGGACGGGCAGCACTCCCTTTACTCAATCGCACCATACGATCAATGCACAACCACCATGCTCCCCCTCACCTTTGTGAGGTACCCTCGTAGGGCCTCGTCCACATTGGCACTGCCCAGCACGCAATGCTCCCTCTATACTGCTTCACCTTCTTGAGCCATAAATCAGACATGCTCCATCCAAACACACCTTAGTGAGGTACCCTCTCAGCCCCTCGTCCACATTGGCTCTGCCCAGCACGAGCAGAAAGCCCCCTCCGCCCCCCGCTGCCTCGACCCGCCTCCCCTCCCCTTGCCCCGCTCCAACACCCCTTCCGTCGGCACCTTCTCTTCTCCCCCTCCCCCTCCTCCTCCCTCCCCTCCCCTTTGCTGTCCATCATCAGTGCTCTCCTTCCGCCTCTCATCCTTTCCCTTCTCCCCTCCCTTGTCCTGCGGCTGCTCCCCCCCTCCCCCCTTGTCTGCGCACCCAGGACAGCAGCTGGGCGAAGAGGAAGGCGAGCACCATGCGCAGCCGCACTTGGATGTTTTGTAATGCAAGGTTTTCAGCTGACTTGCCTCCGTTCAGCTGATTGAAGGGAGTGGGAGTGAAGGGAAGGAGAGAGCAGCGAGAAAGGGGAGGCGGATGGGCATGTCAAGGCAAGGAGAGGAGAAGAGGAAGGCGAGCACCATCCGCAGCCGGACCTGAATGTTCTGCAGGGCGAGGTTTTCTGCTGATATGCTGCCGTCCACCTGATGGGGGGGGGAGGGCGGGGTGGGGTGGGAGGGAGAAGCGGAAGGGAGAAGCAGTAGGAAGAATGCAGGGGAAGAAGAGGGGGAAAATAGGCATGCCCATGCCATGCGTCTTACACACTTTTTACCACCCCCTTTTTCACTCCTCTACCACCCACCTTGTAGCGTGGGCGTAGGCCGGTGACAGTGAGGAAGAGGGCGACCACAGCAGCCACCACGGAGTCAATGCTCATGTCTACGTGCCATGCTCCTATCTCTGATGCCAGCTGCTTCGCTCTTAATCGTGTGTCCTGGGAGCTGTATGCGAGAGGGTGAGAAAGGAGAGATGGGGATGAGAAGAGGGCTACGCCAGCAGTGACCACAAAGTCGATGCTTGTGTCTAAATGTCATGCTCCTATTGCCGCGGCTAGGTGCTTCGCACGTGATCGCGTGGCCTAGGAGCTGTGTGTGTGAGGGGGTGAGGGGGAGGAAAGAGGGACACAGTCATAATAGCAGCAACCAGGGAGTCTATGCTCGTGTTTAAATGCCATGCTCCTATCTCCGATGCTAGCTGTTTTGCTCGTGCCCTTGTTGCACTGGAGCTGTGTGTGTGGGGGGGTCGGGGCGAGGGGGAGAAGAGGGATACAGAACAGATATGGCAACAACAGCGACCACGGAGTCTATGCTCGTGTCTAGGTGCCATGCTCCTATCCTATCTCTGAGGCTAGCTGCTTCGCTCGTAATCGTGTGGCTTGGGAGCTGTGTGCATACGTGAGGGCATCGAGGAGAGATAGGTGGGAGGTGAGAGGAAGGGGAACAGAGGGATCGGGAAAAGGGGAAGCACAAAAGGATATTCGGCACCCATAGAGAAGGTACTGACCTGCTCATGGTGTCCAAATAACGATTGCCCGAGGATACATTTAGAGGTTATTAAAGTCCTATTTTCTTATTCGATAGGTGTGGAACCAATGGGAATATAATGGGTGCCGTTCAGGCACTAGACTTTAGTCAGTGAACATGCAAATGGTGTTCAGGAGAGCACAGGATTAGATAGGTAGGTAGGTAGGTAGGTAGGTAGGTAGGTAGGTAGCAACAAACATGTTCTCCGTGCCCATGTAGATGGTGTGCAGGATGCGGTCAGCCAGCCTGGCTGGCAGCATGCCAAGTTTTGAGGCGCCTCACAAGTAAAAAAAAATGAGGCGCCGAACATCTACAAGCGAACCTATTCTTTGTGCCCATGTAGATGGTGTGCAAGATGCGGTCTGCCAGCCTGGCAGCGTGCTGCTTCTGCTCCTCTGCAGTCTCCCCTGCCACCAGCTATAGCCCCGTGATTCGCTCTGCGTCCTGCCGCACCTGCTCGTTGCCCTCCGCAATTGCTGTGAGCAGGTAACGTAGGGCTGAGAGAAGGGACGGGCGTGAATATGAATGGCAGCCATGGAGGGGCTGTCGGCAGCAAGGAAGCATAGTATTCCGTAGCACCTTGTAGCACCCCACAGCATCACATACCACCGCATCACATCTTTAGCAACCAGCTGGCACATGCAGCCCACAATAACGGCCACAGATGAATTGGCATCGCCAGACAGCGGTGGTAGGAAGCTCAAGGCTCCGGTGCGACACAAATTTTCCCACAGCAAGCACGCCATAGCACCTCACATCATCACCTTGCACCGCATTATGCCCCATTGCACCCCATAGCACTGCATCACACCTTTAGCAACCAGCTGGCACATGCAGCCCACAAAGGCAGCCACGTATGAGCTGTCAGCACCGCCCGACAGCGGCAGCAGGAAGCCCGAGGCTCTACTGCGCCGCAGGTAGTCCCACAGCCAGCACGCCATAGCACCTCACAGCATCACCTTGCACCGCATTACATCAAACAGCACCACTCCACAGCTTTAGCAACCAGCTGGCACATGCACCCAACAATAGCGGCCACGGATGAGCTGTCAGCACCGCACGACTTAGTCTTGAGAGGGTACACCCACACCGCTTGCATGTGGTCATCCACGATGGTCAAGAAGTAGCGGCTGCCCGAGAGAGAAGGGGCCCTCATGGGGCCCACCACGTCTATGTGCACAAGCGCAATGGGGTCTTGGCTGGTCCTATGCTGCCTGAAGGGAAACTTTGTGAACTTGGTCTCGAGACACGTAGGGCAGCTCCCAATCTCCTTTGCTGCCCCCTTCACCTCCAGCCCCTTCAAGCTCCCATCCTTCACCAACTTTTGCAGGAAAGGAATGTTGATGTGACACAGCCTCTCATGCCGCTTCTCCCAATCGGCCTCACCACTCCCAGATGAAGCCTTTGCCTATGCAGCTGTCACATCCACACCAGCAAGCACCTCACCATGTGGTTGCTGTGGCTGCTGCACCTTCTTGACTTCATCCAGGGCCCCATCAGTTGGTGCAGTCTCCTCTCTTCCCGCAGTTGCTTTAGCCGTTGCTGCTGCCGCTGCCGTTGCTGGAGGTTTCCCGTTCCAAGGGATGATGGGCAGCTGCCACAGGTTCTTGATGCAGCTGCTCTTCTCCTCCAGGTTCCATAGCACCAGCTTCTTAAGCTTCACACGGCAGCTGGTTGGGCCAAATGTAACTTCAGCCCTGCTCTTCTGCAGCCGGCAAACAGAAAGAAGGTTAGCGGACAAACCTTCAACCAACAACACGTTCCCAAGTCCCACAAGCTCCCCATTGGCTCCCATCACCTTGGCATTCCCAACACCAATCATAGGGAGCAAAGCACCTGAAGCGGCCGCCACAGACTTGATCTTCCCGGGGGGCTTTACCTCGTCAAGCAAATCTGCCCGTGGGGTCAGGTGACTTGTGCAACCTGAGTCAATCACCCAGTGAGTGAGGGGGTGCATCATAACCTTCCCAACTGAACCCACATCACCCCCACTCCCTTGCACATCCTCAACCATGAAGAACATCCCAGGGTCGGCTTTACCTTGTGGACCTTCACCATGTGCACCTGAACCTTGCACGGCGCCACCTCATGCGCGTTCACCACTTGGCGGCTTCATGCATGGAGGCGCCCATCCTTCAGGCCGGCTGAAACACTTGAACCACGGGTGTCCAACCTTCTTGAATTACCAGCACGCACCCTCCATTCGGGTGCTCACCCTGCCACCAGAGCTTCCATGCCCCTCGTTATAGTCACCTCGGCCTCTCCCTCTGCCAAAGCCTCACCCACGGCCTCGGCCTCTCCCTCTGCCAAAGCCTCACCCACGGCCTCGGCCTCTCCCGCCTGCAGCTCCATACCCCTCAGCAGTCTTGTTGGCAGCACCACCACCCGTGTGGCGCCTGCGGAAGTCCTCTTGCAGAATCTGTTGCCGTAGCCACTCTGGTGTCCACTGGTCCTGCTGAGTGTTGAGGGTGGGGATGAGGTTGTCCCACGAGTTGTCGAGCACCGAGATGATCTTGGTGCACTGCTGCATCTGCGACACGTTGCTGCCCGCCGCCGCCATCCTCGCATAGGTGTCCTTGATCTTATCAATCACCGGCTTCATATCGTCTCGCGGTCGCATGGAGAGGGCTGCCAACTCTTTCTCCAACACAATCACCATCAGCAGCGCGTTGGGCTGAATCACATCGCGTAGTAGCTTCCACGCCTTCGGCCCGGAGTCATCCTGCTCCACCAAATCCTCTGAATGCCGGAACATGTCATTGTTGACTAATTGAATGATATGGTCAAAAAGCACCGTGCTCTTCTCTATCCATCGTTCGCGGGCATCTCCTTCCTCCGACATCTTCTCTTCTCCCATAGCAATTTTCAGCAACTTGTAGCGCTTGAAGGCACTCCTCATCCGCCCTCTCCATTCCTCACAATTAGAGCCATCCAAAGCCTCCATCTTGGATGGTGGCGGTTCGATCTTTTTCTCAACTGCTTCTCCACTTCCTTGATTCATCTCCTCTTCTCCCAAACACAAATTCTTGCACACTCTCGCACTACGCATGCAACGCACGAACATATCATGGGAGGCAGACGGACGTGAATGCAAATGATAGCATCACGTAACATACTTCACCATCTCCAACAACCGTGGATCCCGTGAAGGCGTTCTCTATCGAGAAATTCATGGGGGAGGACTATGAGCACTGGAGCTTCCGCATGAGGCTGATGTACACCCAATACAAGCTACTGGATCTGGTGGAGGGTAAGGAGAAGATGCCTGAGGCCGCGTAGCTGAAAGGAGCATGGATGAAGCAATCGTTCGACACGTACATGCTCATGGTGCAAGCGGTTGGAGGACGACAAATTGACCACATCAACGACCTCTTAGGTGATGCAGAGTGTGGCCCCAAGGCTTGGAGGAAGCTTCTGGATGTGCACTCACCAACACACGCTACCGGCATCGTGCTACTCGCGCGGCGGCTGCGCGACATCAAGTTCGTTGATGGAGAGCCGATGCAACCGGTGTTGGACGAGATGGCGACATCTTCACGAAGCTCCAAGGCGGCGGTGTGGTGTACCCGGAGCTCGTGCAATGCGTGGGGATCGTGATACGACTGCCGGAGTCGTGGTCTGCCCTTGTCATCAACCTCAATCCCCAACAGCCCCAATGGAGCATGGATTACATCAGGGTGCGCATCCCTGAGGAGGACTTGCGGCGGCAGAGTGTGGAGTGCTCGGAGGAGGGGGCTGGCTATGGAGTTGGAGGTGGAATGAGTGGCTTCAAGAAGAAGTGGAAGGGCAAGAACAAGGATGAGAGCGGTGGGGGCCAAAGGGAGGTGTGCTTCTACTGCAAAAAGCGCGGACATCGTTGGAGGAAGTGCTACCAACGATCTAAGGAATGGACCCCGCCTTCATCAAGCAACTAGCGTGGTGGCGCAAGGAGTGGGGGAGTCATGAGAGCTAGTGGAGAGGAGAAGGATGAGGAGAAAAGCGGCAAATATGAGGAGCTGAAGGCCAGGTTCTTCTTCTTCGTGAGGCGCAACCGACCCCGCCATGGCTGCCAAGGTTCTCCTACACCCCCTCACCCATTGGGTGATTGACTCGGGACGCTTTTGGCACATGACTCCTCGTGTGGGCCTACTCGATTAGATTCAGCCCGCACCCATCTTTACAGTCACATCCGCGACGGGCGCCAAGGCCAAAGTCATGGGCATGGGATGCGCCAAGTTCATGGGGGCGGATGGAGAGCTCGTGGGGCTGAAGAACGTGCTTTGGGTGCCGGACTTGTGCTTATTCTAAGGGGGAGTTTGTTGGATGCATGTCATTTTGAGTGCATGTCATCCTAACGTCCTGCCGAGTGCTCGTGCTATTCATGCGTGCATTGTTTGCATGAGCATATATATTATGCATGGCTGTTGGATTTTATAATCTCTGTGTTGTTATCCAAGTTTAAATGCTTGATCATGCAAGAGAAATCCAGAGCTTTCCAACGATACCAAGATCGACTTATTCCGACCAAGATCGCCCAAGTTACATCCAAGTTTTGGGAATTTTATCTTGTTTTGGGATATTATCTACATTGGGCGATTATTGGGACGTGACTTATATATGGATATTTGGTTGGGTGGTTAGGAAGGCAACTTTGGCTTTTGGATTGGGGTGGCTATAATTTTCTAGCACGGGTTGCAAATGTTCCAACACCTAGGCAAAATCCAACTAGATTGGATTTTGCATGTGACACCTGAAGGACCTCATGATGAGGGTTGCATCATTGCTGCTAGGAAGGTTCCTATCATCCTTCCCTAGCTCTTGGAGAACTTCTTCCCTCGCATGGTTCTCTTGGGGTCCCCAACTCCAACCTTTCTACGCCTTAATGTTTGTACTTCCTCCACCATTCTAGTCATGTAGCACCTAGACGTTTTGAAGTGGTTCTCACTCTACAGACCATATTTTTAAGGCGCACAGTCCTACTGAGCGGATTTCCATTTAGTTGAGTAATTAGTTCATCGTAAGTTCTCAAAGCGACGGATCTTGAACAACACATAGTAGTATCGAATCCGGTGGTTCTCTCAAGCCCATAATCTCAATCCTCGTTTAAAAAGTCAGGGGCTCTAAGGTTACTTTTTGTGAGCGTATGGTGAGTCCCACCCATCACCTCTCCACAATCAGGGCAGCAAGAGTCCTGCATGGCCCCGCACACTTCCCAGTCGCATTTATATGCCCGTTGTGGCGCCGTTACCAGTGATTCCCTCCCAAACCTATTGCCTTGAACACATTAGCCTTCTCCATCATTCTCTGAGCGCATTATCTGAAAACACACATTATCTGAGCAAGGTGGTCGTCGTTCTCTGTGTCTGAGGCTGGTTGGTAGGAGATGGCTACGATGTGGAACTGGGTCTTGGCCCTCTCGAGATACTCCAGCTGCTGCTGCTTTGATTCGCCCTGCCATCACAGTACACGTATGAACCATCATGCCTCATTTGGCCCACAAAACACGAAACAAAAATGGAGAGGAGGGAAAGGAGTGGAGGGAAGTGTGGTAGGGTGGGAGGGAGGGAGATGGGAGGGAGAGGGGAAGGGAGGGGGCAGGGAATAGGAGAGAGGGGGTTAGTTACCAGGCCATTCCGGGAGGTTGACAACAGTCGTTCCACCATCCTCCCCTCCACGAACGCATGGAACACGTCAACCATCTCCAGCCGGCCCCTCGCCTCCAGCACCGGCGCCTTGCGCCTGCCATTCTACTCCACTGCCTCCTCGACATGCCTCGCTTATTTCTCCAGCGCCCCACGCACAACCTCCCTGCAATTGCCAGGCGGCTAGGCCAAAAGGGATGCTCTGATGGCGCTATTCTTGTCAGTGCGCTTAGCGAGATCGTGGAGTTCTCTCAGCAGGCAGCGAAGGTGGAGGAGATGTGCCATCATGAGCAGCTGGTATGCTTTCCCTAGCAGAGCGCTTCATAGAGCAGCCGGGGTCCGGCTGGGAGACATACAGCAGCTGGCACTCCTCCTCCCGTGCTGGCACCGCCGAACCTGCAGCCCAATGTGCAGCCGAACCTGGATGATGGAGATACCAACCGGAGGTGCATTCTCTACAGCACCGCTACAGAAGCCTGGTAGGCCTACTGGGTGGGCGGATCCAATGCAGTGCCTCGCACCTTGCTTGCCTCCTCCACCAGGACAGTCGCAGCCTGACCCAGCTCCTCCATTTGCCTCGAGGGAGCAGCTTCCGGACATGCTGATTGAGCTTGGCTCAGCTTGGAGAGCTTGTGCTGGAGCTGCTACTGGTCTGCCTTGCAGCAAAGGGCAAAATTATGCTCTAATTCGTCTAGCAGAGCCCTGTTCTCCATTGTGCCATACCGACGGAGGCCTGTGATTGGCTGGCGGCAGCCGGGCAGCGCTTGAGGACAGATAGACTGCCCCCAAACGACCGCACTGCCACCCACTTGCTCGCCGATTCTTCCGTACCGCCTCCAACTGCACTGCAGCCACCAGAAGCACCTAAAGACTCCTAGTAGACCTGGCTGAGCCCGAGGTAGTCGTCGAGGGACTCAATGGTGAAAGCATGCTAGCAGAACAGCACAAGCACAGGGCTCTCGTTGGGATCAATCTCTCCCAACGTCTTTCATGTGATGAAATCCACCCTCATCTCTCTCTTCTTCTTGGACCCACGCCCTTCCACCATGCAGAACGCCTAGGAAGGGCACTTCTCGGCATACAAATACGAACATTGGTGGCCACAGGTGAGCCTTTTCTCACACCGCTGCTCGCACGAGAGGCGGTAACAGGGAGCGCCGCGGGGCAGGGAGCACCGACCCTGGTGCCTGCAGCTCCACCCACAAGGCTCGTTGCAGGCGGAGCAGGTCCGGTGGCAGGGTTGGGGGCAGGAGCTGTGTTGGCAGGTCACGAGGCACCTTTTGGTGCAGGGCTTGCAGGGTTTGTCGAGGTGGCAGGGGTCGGGGCAGAGGTGGCTGCAGGGGAGGTCGCGCTTGCAGGACTGCGTGCATTCTTTGTGCTTTTTCTCCAGCCGCTGGTGCTGCTGCTGCAAGCCCACGCATTGGTCGGTGTTAGCAGCTGGAGCAACGATGCAGTGAGTGCTGAGGGACATGCAGGCATGGCCGCAGGAGTCTGAGATGAGAGCTCCGCAGCGAGCGGTGCAGCGCTTGGGGTTGGTGAGTGTGGTGGCCGCCTCGCCACACCTGACTTCCTGCTCGTTGCCGCACAGCGGCATCGTCACTTTCACCGTTCTCCTGCCGCCATGGGAAGTAGAGGGGAGAAAGGGACAAGGGAAGACATGAGGGAGGCATGCGACCAATATCAGTATCTGCAAAGGAAGTGTCACGCACTGAGATCGTTGAAGGTGACGGATCAGATTGCAAGACAGGAAGCAAATACGAGAGGGGACGGCGACCAGAGCGGGTGGGCATGGGTGAGAGTGGCAGCAGGTGTGTTGCAAGGCAGCCGTGGAAGGCACTCACAGGAGGTTCATGGCAAGTGTAGGAAAGGGAAACGGCACGGGCAGGGAAACGGTACAGGCAGGGAAGAGGCACGGGCAGGGAAAAGGCAACAGCACGAAAAGAGTTAATGGCGGGAAATAGGCAAAGGGCGGCAATTATGCAAGTGCAAAAAGACAGGCGGGGAAGGGTGGGAAGAAGGCACGGGTTGAAAAGAAAAATGTTGGCATTTAGCTTGCCTAGGGCAAACCCATGCAGGTGGGAAAGCTGAACCCACTAGCAGAAAATGGAAGAGGGCTTTCGTGCCTTGAAGCAAGGGACATTGGAGGCCTGATGGCCGCAGGGGAGAGTCACCTCCCTGATGGTGACCATGCACGGCCCACAGGGCTCGCCACACTGCTTGGGGCACGTGTGCTGGTGAGCGCACTCGTCCAGCGGCCGGATGCGGTTGCACTCCTGGCCACATAACATGGTGGCGTGTGCCCTGTCGTCCGCATGGCACCTGTTGGGTACTGATAGAAGACAGAGGGGTGCTGTTGAGCCAACCACGTGTCCTGCAGAGGCCCAACGTGTTAGGGAAACATGTTGAGGCATTTGTTCAATTGCACCCCATGGGGCAGAACGTGTTGGTGTGACTCATGTCGTCCGCATGGCACCTGTGGGGTAAAGAAAGACAGACAGGAGCATTTGAGTAATTTTCTTTCCTTTTTAGGAGCCACTGTAATAACAAACTCAGCTAGGAACACGGAAAAGGGAGGATGCAACATGAGAGCAAAGAGAACACGAGCGTTGTAGAGAGCATGATGCTTATACGGATAGGAAGTCAACACAAGGGGAATGCATAGGAGAGAGATAACGGTTTGACTCTGACCTGCGGGGGTAGGTGTGGCCAGAGGGAGTGAGTCGAGTACCTGCCCTCGCTGGCCTTCTCCTTGAACTCGCCCGCACCCTGGATGTGCGTCACCATGCCCGCGTGGCTCGCACAGCGCAGCGGGATGAACCTCTTAACGTGCCCCTTTCTGTCCAGCATGCCCATGATGCGCGGCCACAGGGAGGCCTTGGAGGTCGCTGCCCGCGTGCTGCTGGCGCTGCCTGCTCTCGAAGGAAAAAGGGACAAGCGAGGAGGAGAGTGTCAGTTTGCGCAGTAGATGTGTCTCACCGTGTCAGCGTATCTGAACAACCCTCGCCCAGTGCAGCAGGATGAAGAGAACGAATCGTCCCTGCTCTACACCATGTATATAACTCTCAGCCACACAACACATCCTGTAGTTCTTGAAAGTAGCCGCCCTCATGGTGATATGTGGCCACAACATATGCCACACACTCACCAATGATGTACATGCCACACACTCACCAGTGATGTACATGCCACACACTCGCCAATGATGTACATGCCACACACTCACCAAGGATATACATGCAACACACTCACCAATAATGTACATGCCACACACTCACCAACGATACGCATGCAACACACCCACCAATGATACACACGCCATGCACTCACCAACGATACACATGCAACACACTGACCAATGATAAACACGCCATGCACTCACCAACGATACAGATGCAACACACTCACCAATTATACACATGCCATGCACTCACCAACGATACACATGCAACACACTCACCAATGATACACACGCCATGCACTCACCAACGATACACATGCAACACACTCACCAATGATACACACGCCATGCACTCACCAACGATACACATGCAACACATTCACCAATGATACACACGCCATGCACTCACCAACGATACGCATGCAACATACTCACCAATGATACACACGCCATGCACTCACCAACGATACACATGCAACACACTCACCAATGATACACACGCCATGCACTCACCAACGATACACATGCAACACACTCACCAATGATACACACGCCATGCACTCACCAACGATACACATGCAACACACTCACCAATGATACACACGCCATGCACTCACCAACGATACACATGCAACACACTCACCAATGATACACACGCCATGCACTCACCAACGATACACATGCAACACACCCACCAATGATACACATGCCATGCACTCACCAACGATACACATGCAACACAACCAACGATACACATACAACACACTCACCAATGATAAACACGCCATGCACTCACCAACGATACACATGCAACACACTCACCAATGATACACACGCCATGCACTCACCAACGATACACATGCAACACACTCACCAATGATACACACGCCATGCACTCACCAACAATACACATGCAACACACTCACCAATGATATACACGCCATGCACTCACCAACGATACACATGCAACACACTCACCAATGATACACATGCCATGCACTCACCAACGATACACATGCAACACAGTCACCAATGACACACACGCCATGCACTCACCAACGATACACATGCAACACACTCACCAATGATAAACACGCCATGCACTCACCAACGATACACATGCAACACACTCACCAATGATACACACGCCATGCACTCACCAACAATACACATGCAACACACTCACCAATGATACGCACGCCATGCACACACCAACGATACACATGCAACATACTCACCAATGATACACACGCCATGCACTCACCAATGATACACATACAACACACTCACCAATGATACAGACGCGATGAACTCACCAACGATACACATGCAACACACTCACCAATGATACACACGCCATGCACTCACCAACGATACACGTGCAACACACGCACCAATGAGGTACATGCCGTGCTTGGCGCGGGAGAGCAGCACGTTGGTGCGGTTGGGGCTCTTGAGGAACCCGATGTCACCGTCCGGTTGGTGCCGCACGAGGGAGATTATGATCACCGTGCTCTCCTCGCCCTGGAAACTGCACAAACATCCACTAATATGGAGCAAAATTCATATAAGCTGGTTCAAGAAAAGGCAAAACATCAGCATTACTGGTGGTTTTCGTTCACCAACCCGCTCTCCTTACCCTGGAAACAGCACCCAGCAAGTTGAGGAGGTGGGTTGAACAAGCAAAATCTACCAGCATACAGATTGGCCAAGCCAAGCCGCATAGAAACAAACCTCAAGAACTGATAGGACAACAAAAGTTGTTGCGCACTATCAAGATGACCAATTTACCACTGTGCTCTCCGCATCAACCCACCACGTACGTAGCGCAAGACGTCAACAACCCCTTCATCTTCTCACATGCTCCACACCCACTCTCCGGTTGCTCCAAGTCTGCACTGACTCAGTTGTCCGCAGCAGCTAGCTGAACCGCATATGCCCTTCTTCTTGTCATGGCCACTTTTGGAACAGCAAGTTCTTGGTGCGGCAGACAAATATACCAATGGCTTTTCCCTTTCCACTGCCCATGCTTACTTGTCAATGGTAGCAAGCCGCACTACATCCTTCAGATTTGCCATGGTCGCCTTCGGTGCAGCAAAACCCAGCCCTAGCCCCTTCCCCTTCCCCACCCGCCGCCCCCCAGTCTCCCCATCAGCCTCTCCCCCCCCAGGTCCACCTCCCCTGGTACCCGCTTGCTCCGCTGCCTTCTCCACCTCCTCGGCATCGCCCTCCCCCAGACGCACATCCACCACCTGAGAAAGCGCCTGGCGCAGCTTCAGCAGCTGACCCACGTAGGGCGTGAGGATGGTGATCTTCCCTCCCGTGTACCCTTGCTGCAGCAGGTACGTGGCCAGCCCCACCACCATGGCTGCCTCCCCCGCGTTGGACTTGGACTTGCCTCCCCCCAGGTCGTCCCGACCGCTCTCAGGGCTGCTGTGGTCCCAGAAGTGCAGATTCACTGCCATGCCCTGCACGTCAGGGTACCTGGGGAGCGGGGATGGTTGCACGGGTGCGTGAATGACCTTGCTTAGAGATGTCTGAGTAGACGAATGGGTGGTGTGTTTTGAGTCGACTCAACTCACAAATGAACTTGCTTAGAAATGCTTCAGTTTACACACGAGAAACTGAAAGCATACCCGTGCACAAAGGGGTGGTCTGTAAGCCTGGGGTAGATGGTGTAGCGGATGAGGTCGGCAATTTCCGGGCGCATGCGGCGCTGCGTTGCGAGCGTGTACACGGGGATCTGCCGGGAGAGTGTGAGGCACTCAAAGAGAGAGACATCCAGGTCGAAGCCCCTGTGGGAGTCCTTGCTAAGGTCGTATACCTCCACCTTGGGCCGCAGCTGCTTGTGGTCGCCTGCCAATCCATTTTAACACGAAGATAAAAAAAAATAGAGAAAAATACCTTAAGCTGCGTGCTAAGCTGGTATGCCTTCGCCTTTGGACGCAGCTGCGAACACTCGGCTACAAAGAGAACCGAATGACAACAATGTTCAACCACAACCACGGCCGACCACACCAGCAGCCCAAATGTATACCTATGAGTATAACGTGCTGGGTCAACGGGATAAGGGACGTGAGGATGTGCGCCTCCAGCACTTCAGCTGCCTCCTCCACGATGATGACTTGCGGGCCGAGCGCTGTGATGAGGCGCTGCATCTTGGCCACCCCGGACGTAATCATGCCCACCACCTGCGCCCTCTTCAACACCTGCAGGTCCTCCACCTGCTGCAGCTCACTTCGCTCCCTCACCTTCCTGCACGTTCACTCACACATGGAAGCCACACAACAACCGGGTAGTGCACATTACGAAGCCATACATGGCCTTAAGTGATTCTTTCTAACGTGGTAGGTGCAGGGCCAATGGCGAAATGCATGCGCATGATGAAAATAATGCTCCCCGCCATATTACGCTTGGCGCGCCCGGTGAACAACGCCGCCGGCAGTCGCAGTGGCAGTGGCAGCGGCACCGCCAGGGGCAGTCCCGGCAACGGCGGCGGCGGCTGCTGCGGTGGCGGTGGCTTCACCCCACCAGCACCACCGGCCTTTCACATACCACCGCCCTTACACCACCAACACCCTCACAGCACCACCACCGCCCTACACCCCACCGCCACCGCCCTACACCCCACCGGCACTGCCCTTCTTCCCACCAACACCGCCCTTCACCCCACCAGCACCGCCCTTCACACCACACCACCGCCCTTCATACCACACCACCAGCACCCTTCACACCACACCACCCGCACCCCCCTTCACACCACACCACCAGCACCGCCCTTCACACCACACCACCAGCACCGCCCTTCACACCACACCACCAGCACCGCCCTTCACACCACACCACCAGCACCGCCCTTCACACCACACCACCAGCACCGCCCTTCACACCACACCACCAGCACCGCCCTTCACACCACAGCGCCAGCACCGCCCTCCACACCACACTACCAGCACCGCCCTTCACACCACACCACCAGCACCGCCCTTCACACCACACCACCAGCACCGCCCTTCACACCACACCACCAGCACCAGCCATACTTGGCATACTTGTCCACCTCAGCCTCGATGGCAGCAGCAGCAGTGGCGCGCACCTCCCCCACCCACACCGCCACCAGCATCCTCCTCTTCCGCCCACTCGTTGGCCATGGGTCCGCCAAACCTAGCAGCGCCCCGACCCCGCGGTCACTCGCCTCATCCACCTCCACTGCCATCCACTCCTCCTCCTCCTCCTCCTCCCCTTCCTCCTCCTCCCCCTCCTCCTCCTCCTCTTCATCTTCCCCCATGCTCTCGTGTGCCTGCCTGCTGCTTTCATTCCCCCTGCTGCTTTGGTTCCCTCGACTGCCTTGGTTTCTCCAGCTGTCAGCACAACCAGGGGATACGTCAGTGCCTGGGCCTCGCCTGCCGTTGTGAACGCTCAAGTCATCAAACGCATGTGAGAGATCGTCCTCCACTCCCAACACTCCTGCCCCTCCTGCCCCTCCTGCCCCTCTCCCTCCCCGCCCTCCCGTTGAGGCCGAAAGGCCTCGCTTCCATCCACCGGGTCCAGTTGCTCGGACCCACGTGCTGGTAAACGAACAGTCAGTGGACCACAAGAACGAAGAGAAGTGGTCAAGAATCAGGGGATGTTTCACGTTTCAAGAGGTGTACTTGTGTCCACGGCTGGGTTGCTTTGTTTAGGACAAGAGAAATTGAAGGATGAGAAACCCAGAACAAAAAGCCATGGCATCCTAGACAGGCATAACTTGCAACCCCACCCTCCCTCACAGCGTCATCGTCACACACAGGCTGGAATGGCTAGGAGGCATATTGGGCCGACTTGGAATACACCCACCCGCTCTTCCTTGCACCCACTGCACCCAGCCCACCTACTTATCTGAACCCGTCACTGCTTGCCGTGCTGATGGCGTGCAGCGAGTGGATGGAAGAAAACAGGGTGGCTGGCCGTGAAGTGTATTGGGCCGGCTCAAAACACACTCTAATTATGCACGTAGCATCCCTTTCTCGTCCACCTATCCACACACCTAAAACCCGTCGCTGTCTGCTGTGGTGGTGGGGTGCAGCGCGTGGAAGAAATCGGGGTGGTTGGCCATGAGGTGCGCAGCGATGGAGCGCCACGTGACAGCCGCTGTGTTGGCGCTGCGCTGCTGCAGCGCGTCGCTGTACGTGGCTATCACCTCCTCCACCTCGCCCAGCGTGCTGTGCACCTCGTAGGTCGAGTGCTTGTACGCTGCTCACACATGCACGCAAGCACACACGCACGTACGCAAGCAAGCAAACACATGCGCGCATGCATGCATGCACGCAAGCAAACACACGCGCACGTAAGCAAACAAACACACACGCACGCAAGCAGACAAACACGTATGCACGCGCACGCGCCCCCAGACAACCTCACATAACAGATGCTAAGTAGGAACTTTGGAAGCAAGTGGTTGGGAAGCATCTGCTGTGGTGCAGTGCTCACCTTGGCTGCGATCCACATTGGAGGTGCGAATGATGTTGAGGAGAATGTGCTCCTGCAGTACCTCCGACTTGCACCTTTTTCCCACTCGCACCACCTGCCATGACGCATGGCACAGCAGGAGCCGCACATGTAATGTAAGCTCCACAGCCAGAGATACAACCAAGGACATTGCGTGCAATGCAGATGCACACGTTTGTAAAAGCGACATGCCAGTGACCCCTTCCGAGCGAAAGCGCCTGCTTCCAGCAAGAACAACAACAACATACATAAATAACCCCCTCACATTTACGTGAGAAATCTGTGGGATGCAGTCTAACTCACGCTCTTGATGCCACCTTTGGACCCCCTCTCCTTACCTACATATTCTTTTGTTTAGGTGCCTCAAAAACCGAGACGCGTGCATGGCAAGGCAAATGATTAGTGCATTGGCGCAGTAATGAATTCGACTCACCTTCTTGATGCCGCTAGCAATGATGCCCTCTAGGAACTGATCCAGGGCGTGGTTGGTGAAGCACACGCACAGGATGGGACCCATGGCACTGCCCGCCTCCCTGCCTCGAGACACATGCCCCTTAGCGCTGCTCTTGAATGCATTGCTCAGCAGAATCTCCACCAGCTTTATCTTCACGAACGTCTGCCATGGGAACACACGACACCACCTTAGTGAGTCACAGAGACAGAAGTGGCCAAATTTCTTCCTGCGAGATGTTCAGGAGTGAGAGCGAGAAACAGGCCTTTAGCTCACACACCTTGCCGGTTCCTTGGGGGCCCTGCAGCAGAGCAAACTCCTGGGTAAGGGCCGCAGCTTGGGGCTGGTCCAGCGACGTGCAGCGCAGGAGAGCATCTATGGGGAAGGCCGTGGGGCAGGTAATCCTCACGTTGCTAAGGGCATACTCGTCCTCTGGAGTGATCTGCTCCTGCTGGGCCTTGGTCTCGAGCAGTAGGCTCAAGTCGTACCTTCCAAGGAAACGCACAACACAGGTATAGTCACGATGGGAAGGCCATGGGCTGGCTGATGGCATTCTCGTCCTCTAGTGCGATCTGTGCTTGCTGGGAGGAGGATACCTTGGTCTTGAGCAACAAGCTCAAGTCGTACCTGCCAAGGAAGGGGGGTAAAGGAGGGGGAAGACAACACATGCCTTGTCCAGTGCCTAAGTGCAAGAGAGACTCGTGCTCTTACAAGAGTTGAAGCAGGCTCGAGTTTACATCAGTCATACATGCAAGAAGCACACATGGCTCCTAATGTTAGCCTCATGAGGATGCACCAATTGAACCTCCTTGTCCCTCCTCTCTCTTCAACACCAACACCTCCACCTTTTCCCATATTCTTTCTATATCTTCTTTCTCTCGCTAACAGTGCAGCCCTCAAACTATTCCCCTCTCCTTCCATCCCCATCTTGCCTCCCTCCCCCAACACCCAATCCTCTTTCCACCCCTTTGTACTCACCTCATGCCCGTTTGGATGTACGCAGGTAGCTTGTATGCTCCAGGTGCCCTCCCAGATGCACCACCAGGTGCCCCGTCAGATACCCCACAGATGTACTCAGCAAAGGGCAGAGACGCCTCGGTGATACGCAAAGAAGCTCCCATGGGCCTCCAGCATCACCTCCTGCGTCCTCCCACCACACCTCCCACTCCCCCCCCAACAGGTCCGCACTGAACCCGTTCCCCCCGCACGGCTGCACTGCGATTTGCGGTCGGGCAGCAGCAAATCTCTTTGTGTCCCGAGCTCTCATGATGGCAAAGATGAGGCGGTGGGAGGAAGTGTCACTAGCGGCTGGCGTGTTTCTTGCATGGGGGGAATGTAATGGCACTCGCAGCTGCTGCTGCAACTTTTGCTGCAAGTGGGTGTGGTGATTGAGGCCTGGCTGGACGTCTCGAATCCACAGGAAGACCAGGGCGCCGTGCTGCAGCCTCCGCGTGTTCTCCCAGAATTCAACCCTGCGAGTGACAGAGAACAAAGGGTGTAGAGGGGATAGCCGGATACACACACCATTAGCAAGCATTTCAACTTTCCCATCACACAAGTACGGCCGGCCTGGTTAGGTTAAGTTAAGAGTAAGCCTTGCTTGCCCACACAGGCCAGAGCTCTACCTGTCACGAGTTTGCCAGCCGCGCGGCATGGGGGGCTCGAGGAAGTCAATCAAAAAGTACATGCAGCTGCGCTGGTCTGCGTGGATGGAGAGCACTCGCACATCCCTTAGTAGATACACGTCTATGCCCTCCGAGGACAACCCCACCATGCCCTTCATCGCATCCGCCACACCCCTCACCGACTCCCTGTATGCCCTCAGCAGCCCCATTGCCTCCCCCCTGCTGCTGCTCCCGCTGCTGCTTGCACCACGGGCACCCCCGGACGATTCGTAAGTGAGGCGGTGGAGGAGGAAGAGCGCCTTGCTCCAGAGGGGGGCGACGAGGTCGTGGCACAGCAGGCGGAATTGAATGTCTACGTGGCGCCCCAGTGACCCCGCTGGCAGGCAGTGCGGCTCGTTGGGGTGGTTGTGCGGAAGGTAGGGCGCGGCGTCGCAGAGAATCTCGTCCATCGTTGACGCCACTGAGATCTGGAGTCGGGCAAGACGGGTATTAGGAGAGGAAAGAAATTAATCGAAGTTAGGAAAATATCCATTAAAGCCCCTGGTCGAACGGAACCATGAAAGAAACACCTGCGTAGATTTCTCATCAAGAAAGGAATTTGTCAGGACAAGGAGCTTGTCTGGACAAGGAGCTTGTCTGCCATCAGACACAAAACCTAATCAAGGCACGGGAAACTTGTGAGAGAAATGGCCACTAGCATGGTCACAATACAAAACAAAAACACTCCAATCCCATAAAATTCACGATTTCTATGTGAAATGCATCAAAACAAGCCAGCATCTTATGGCTATAGTTTCAAGTGTCATAGCATGCTGTGGGCAGCCATTTAAGGTGAGCCCGCGAGGGCCATCTATGACCTCATGGAAAACATGATCACGGGCGATTGTCACATAATGTCATATCAAGAGCATCTTACGGCTGAAATCTCGATATGGTCATTGTCGTGGCGTGGACGACCTTCCAAGCTAAGCTCGCCCAAACCATCCTCAGCCTGCATGCTGAACAGGCGCTGACCTGCAAAACCATGCCACATCACATCATAGCACAGCACATCACAGCATAGCACAACACAGCAGCAGCACAAAATCGTTTGTTACAGCGTCTTACATGTGACGGAAATAAAGTGCATCATGTACAGCTTCTATCAGACGAGAATGGCCATTCTAGCAGCCCACTACAGCGTGATATGAGAACAACAAACCTGAAGGGAAGTCAGCATGCAGCTGCTGGCCTTCCTCCATCCTCTCCCTCTGTCTCTCACTGTGCTGGCGTCTGTGCAGCGACTTTCGCAGCCTGTCGAGCGTGGACCACAGGCTGTGGTACCTGCCGTCAAGCACTGGCATCTGCACCTGCCAGATCTCAACCATCGTGTCCAGCACCTCAACGTCCGCTCTCGCTTGCACAGCGTCAAACAGGGAGTAGAAGCGGTCCATGGCTACATTAAAGAAGGTTCTTATAACGTGTATGGCCATGTCCCAGTCTGTGATACTGTCTGTGTCGTCCAGTGATGGATCGCGCATCTCTGCACATTCAGTGTAGAGTCGCATGCGGCAGACGAGGTACTCCTGCAGACCTGGCACCTCCGCGATTGCCGCTAGCGTCACGTTCACCTTGCTTGATGCGGGGTTGTTGAAAAACTCGGGCTGCAGAGAATCGTTTCAAGAATGAAGGGCAGAAGAGACATAGAAGCTTAAATCGGAAAGATAGGAATTGATACAAGGCATCAAACAAAACCTTGGTTCGGCAGATTGGGGAACAGATTTGCAAGCGAAATTGAATGGCGCCACCTGACAGAAGATGCTGAGCATAGGCAGAATGAGGCCCTGGAAGGACATGAGTGGGTGTGACTCCCAGCAGCCACGGATCGTGAAGGCCCGCATGCCACGGCCTCCTGGCAAGTGCTCACCACCAGCCTCCTGGCAAGTGCTCACCACCATCCGACTGCCGTACAGCTTGTCATCCACAAGTACAATCACCAGATCTGCAGCCATGGTTGGTTGGGATGCCAATGAGAGAAATCGTTCCATTGCATTAGCAACATTGACGGGGACAGTTCTTTATCGCGCTGTGGATTTTAGAGTAACAAAAAAACGGATGTACTTGAAGCGTCTTGAGCTTTCATCACGTTAACGAAAGTCCTCATGTGCGACTGATTCACGAAATCTCTGTCACTCAGCAGGAAGGGCCACAGGCTAGGCCCCTTCCTTTCCTGGCCGCCTGAACCTGACGTTCCTCCTCCTCTTCCTCCTCCCCTTCCTCCTCCTTCTCTTCCCCCCCCCCCTTTCTCCTCCTCCTCTGCCTCCTCCTCCTCCTCCTCCTCCTCCTCCTCCTCCTCCTCCTCCCCCTCCTTCTCCTCCTCCCTCTTTTTCCCCACCCTCTCTCTCCCCCCCCCGCGCCCGCGACCTCCGCCCTGATTCTGATTTTCATTCTCATGATCGGGTTGCCACCCTCCTCTGCATCCGCCTGAGTGTCCCCATCTCCCCAACTTCCAGTCTCGTCCCATGTTGTCTCCCCGAGAGTAGCCGAAGGTAAGATCCATGGCTCTCCACACTCTAGGTGAGAGTTAGGAGTCCGTCCTTGGAGAAAGCGCTCAAGGAGAGTGTGGTGGAGGAGAGAGATGGAGTTCCAGGTCCAACCTAAGAGGACATGTCAACACCGAGTTTGGTGCTTGTGCTGGTGGTCCTCCCACCTAGGAGATTTTCCTCGGTGCACTCCGTTGACACTCCTGAAAACCGGATGCAGTATGGTCTGTTGATCTTGATCATACACCCTCCAGCAGCAGCTAGTGTCAAACGATTATAATGTTAGCGGGGTAGCCCACAAGGGGTACAACCCAATTAGGGTGAGTACTTGTACCAACTTTCTTCACAATGTTATCATTCTCGTTCAGTATTCTGACATGGTTTCAGAGCAGGTCCTGTTCCATGACCGTTTTTTTTTTTCAGAATAGTTCCCTCCCGTAACGCGTTACCCTACTCGTAGCACTCTACCCTGCCCGTCGCGCTGCTCCACCAGTCGCGCTGCCCTGCCCTGCCTGCGCGCCGCCCTGCTGGCCGCGGGCTGCCTTCCCCTGCCCGTCGCGCCGCCCTGCTGGCCTTGCACTGCCCTGCCTTGCCCACGCACCGTCCTGCTGGCCGCGCGCTGCTCTGCCCTGCCCGTCGCGCCGCCCTGCAAGCGCCGTGCCGCCCTGCCCTGCCCGTCGCGCCGCCATGCTGGTCGCGAACCGCCCTCCCCTGCCCGTCGCGCTGCCCTGCTAGCGCCGCACCGCCCTGCCCTGCCTGTGCGCCGCACTGCCCTGCCCTGCCCGCGCGCTGCCCTGCTGGCCGCCGCACCGCCCTGCCCTGCCCGCGCGCCGCCCTGCTGGCTGCCGCCCTGCCCTCCCCTGCCCGCGCGCCGCCCTGCTGGCCACCGCCCTGCCCTTCCCTGCCCGCATGCCGCCCTGCTGGCCGCCGCCCTGCCCTGCCCTGCCCGCGCGACGCCTTGCTGGCCGCCGTCCTGCCCTGCCAGTCGTGCCGCCCTGCCCTAGCCGTGCACCGCCCCGCCCTGCCCTGTGCGATTCCCTAGCAATTGCGCGCCGCCCTACCCGTCGTGCAGTCCTTGCTCACGCGCCACCCTGCTCTGCCCGCTATGGCTACTCTCAGCGTCCTCACATTCGATCCTGAGGGCCGTCCGATCCAGTTCGATACGTGGCTTGATGACTTACAGCTGTTGGTACTGAGCGATTCTAGAGACGGGTTTCGTTGTTTGACCACACGTCTGGAGACTCTCTCGCCCCTCCCGACACAGCAGACAGTGCGACCCGCTCACAGTAGCTTACCCGTGACGCTGCTGCTCGCCTAGTCGTTTGCAACCACCTACCGTTAGCCGAACGCGCTCACTTTGGCCAGCACAAGACGGCTAAAGCCCTGTACGACGATGTAGTCGTTTGTTACTCCTCCCCTGCCACTGCTGCTCTCGGCCGCCTTATACTGCCCTACCTTTTTCCCGAGCTGTCCGCCTTTGGCACAGTCAACGGCCTAGTCACCCACCTTTGCACTAGTGACACTCGCTACCGCGCCGCGCTTCCCACCAAGTTTCTAGACAAGAACCCTTCCCCCATGTACATCGCTCTCTACTTCATCGTCACCCGCCTCCCTGACTCTCTTAGCGCAGTCAGGGACCTCTTTCTCACCATGGACCCCACTGACCTCACTGTCGACCTGCTCGAGAAGCACCTCCTTGCAACTAAGGCCAGCATAGTCACTGTAGGTGCTGCTCGTGGCACTCCTCGCACTCCCTTCTTTGAGGGGTGTTCCCCCTCCGCCCTTGCCCCCTCCCACGCTTCTGCTGCTGCTGTTGACTTCCTTCGTGCTGAGGAGGTCGGGGCTGCGGCAGTGGGAGTGGTGGCGGCAGCAATGGTGGCGGAAGTGGGAGTGGTGGAGGCGGCACTGGTGGCGGTCGGGGTGGAACCGGTCAGAGGGGAGGTTCTGGCGGTGGTCAGAGGAAGCAGCAGTGGCGTCCGCGTGAGACCCCTACGTCCTAGGAGCTTTGTGAGTGGTTTGCTCAGCGTGGGGCGTCTGGGGGTAGTGTTCGCTGCCAGTACGTCATTCACACAAGTGACCGCGCTGGTCAGATTTGCGGGAAGGTTGGTTACACACAATCCCGCTGCTTCTCCCGTCTTGACAACGCCTGGCGCGCAGAGTTTTCCGATGCGACTGATTTCCCCCGTTGGCTAGAGCTCCTTAGGCCGGGTGTGGATATCTTTGCTCTTGACTATGACGCTATCCTTGCTGACATGTATGCTTTGACTATTAGTGCAGAGGGTGACTGTTGTGAAAACAAAGAACGAGGAATGGATAAACTAGAAAGCAAGTGGGTACAAGTAGGAAAACCTAAAAGTGTTGTACCCCATATTGCCTACCCCAATACAGCCTACACAGACTATAACATATAAGTTTGACACACCCCCATAGGAAAAGAGGGGGAGAACAAGAGGTCACAAGACCAGTCAAGAAGAGAAAAGCAAGCTCAGGGTGGATTACAAAGTCACCAGACACTCTAGGCACAAGCAAATGGCCACAAGGCTAGTTCACATGCACAGTTATATAAAGCAGAACAAGCAACACAGTGATCAAAACCTAGCAAGAGTAAACATGCAGGTATATGTATATAGATCACACTACAAGCAAAGTCAAGAAGTGAGCAAGTGTGGCCAAGTAGGCACAAGGCCTAGAACAATACAGAAACGCTGGTGATAACAAGGCTGAAGTGCCTTGGTGAAGATATCAGCAGTGTTGGCACGAGAGGCCACGTAAGCAAGATGAAGTTGACCACGCTGCTGCAACTCTCGAGCAAGGAAGTAACGCAGAGCGATGTGCTTCGTCCTCTGCTCCAGTCTGTGCTCCTGACACAAGGCAATCATGGCCTTGTTGTCGACGTACAGCACTGGAGGAGAACGAGGCAGCTCTCCCAGGTCGGTCAGGTGAGCCGGCGTAACTCCTGTGCAGCCATGGCCCCTGCGTAGATCTCAGCCTCACAGCTGGAGCTGAGAACAGAAGACGAGCTGAGCCGGAGCCAAGGCTGAAAGTGTAACCCTGTGACGACCGCTGCGTAGCCAAGTCGTCAGCCCAGGAAGCGTCTGTGTGACCAGTGAGGACAACTCGAGCCCGTCCTCCAAGCACGAGCCTCATGCCCGACGTACTGCACAAGTAGCGCAACACCCTCTTAGCGGCATCCATGTGCTCCTTCCTGTGTCTCCCAGGACCAACATAGCGTGCCAGGATGCTAAGAGGGTATGCCAGGCCAGGTCATCAGGTACATGAGGCTGCCCACAAGCTCTGGATACGGGCCACTCGGCTCTACGGACTCATCTGAAGGCAGAGCTGAGAGCGAGTGGCGAGTAGGCAGAGGAGTGGGCTGTGGCGAGGAGTACGTGAAGCCGAAGCGCTGAAGGACCTGCTGCACCATGTGTGACTGAGTCAAGGTAATGGTGCGCTGTGCTCTATCCCGGGTGATCCGCAAGCCAAGATAGCTTGTCAGCTCACCCAGGTCTGTGCACGTGTGTCTCTTCTGCAGCTCCGACTTCACGTGGGCGAGTCCCTCAGTGTCAGAAGTGGCAAAGACCAAGTCGTCGACGTACACGAGGACGTAGAACGGCGGCAGAGAGGTGTCGGTGCGTAGAAACAGCGACGGGTCAGCAGTGGAAGGAGCAAAGCCAAGAGCCGCAAGGGTCGTCATCAGTATGTCGTGCCACTCACGGGGCGCCTGGCGGAGACCGTAGACTGGCCGCCGGAGGCTCCACTGGGTACCAGGAGGAAACGACCCAGTGAAGCCAGGTGGGCGGCGCAGCCAGATCTCCTCGTGCAGGCTGCCCTGTAGGAAAGCAGTGCTGAAGTCAAGAGAGTGCAGCTCGTAGTCACGCTGAGCAGCTATGTGCAGCAGAACTCGAAGAGTGGTCATCTTCGGGGTGGGGGAGAATGTCTGGAAGAAGTCAACTCCCTCTCGCTGACTGAAGCCTCGTGCAACGTAACGCGCCTTGAAGACAGGCTGAGAACCCGTCGGCCGCTTCACCCTGAAAATCCACATGCCACTGACGATATTCGCCCCAGGCGGGGGAACCTCGTCGACGTAGGTGCCTGTGGACTTTCAAGAAGCCATCTCTGCGTCCATGGCTGTCTGCCACTGAGAGGAGTAGGGACCCTCTATCGCCTCTGCGTAAGAGCGCGGGGTCGGGATGTCTGGTGCATCCGGGTCTCCATCAGGGGCAATCAGCATAAACACGAGATGAGGTAAAGCAGCGGCAAAGCACTCAAACTCCTCCTGCCTGTCCTCAAGGACGTCCGTGCCAAGAGCACACTCACCCCCGATGGACGGAGGACAGACCGACTCATACTCAGACTGAGCAACAAGACTATCGGCTTAGTCTAGACGACAGGCGGCAGCAAAGTCAACAAGCTCAGCAACTAGGGCAGACGCAGCAGTGGACTCAAATGACGGGTCTGTGACAACAGTGGCTAGTAGACGAGTGACAGTAGGACTAGCAACAAGAAGGGAGTCAGACTCCAGGTCCGGACCGTCAGCAAGAGATGACGTAGGAGGAGACGGCAGAGGGACGCCCAGTGGAGCAGTGGAAGGACGAAGTGCCATCTGGTGCGTGCCAGGGACAGGAGGAGGGCGCGGACGCGGGACACGACTACCAGTGCGAACAGCGCGAACAGGCGACGAAGGACGAGACTCAGGCGACGCAGGACGAGACTCAGGTTATGCAGGACGAGACTCAGGCGACGCAGGACAAGACCTCTAGTCAGCCCAGAGTAAGGAGAAGGACCAGGCAGTGGAGAGGCTGGCTCTAGCTGCGACTGCGGCTTGGCAGGCTGTGGACACAGTAAGGGAAGAGTGGGACCAGTAGAAGGCGGGAGGACAAGAACCTGCTGAAGAAGCGGAACGAAGTACGGCCGCGGCCGCGCAGCACCTCCAGAACCAGCAGAGACAGCACCAGTACCCCCAACTCCAGGGTCTCCAGCT